ATGCAGTGAAGAAAATCGTGAAGCATGTGAAGATGCAGTGAAGAAAATGGTGAAGCAGTGAAGAAAAGTGAAAGCTGTAACGGTCAAAAATGGATATGAGAAAGCTGTGAAGAAATGTGAAAAGCTGTAAAGTTCAGGATTGTATTTTTGGGATAGAATTGTGTAAAAAATGAAACAAATGCTATCCTAATAATCTGGTCTAGAATATGGAAAATAATAATGAACCAAACACGGCCAAAACTTTTGGTTGAGTTGACTCAATGCCAAACTATTCAAGATATGGACAAAATTATAATGGCCATTGGATCTTCCTTATCTAAAAAAGCAAATTCGGACAACATCAAGTCACCAAGTGATCAAGATAAAGATGACTATTATGCAATGTTCCATGATCAATTATGATTTCAATAAAAGAAAGGACAATGACTCAACACCAGCTTTATCACGTGTTCAATACTCTTAGTGGATATCAAGATTTTCAAAATTCCCCTTATCAACAAGATCATTTTGTCGACCAATATCAAGACAAGTTCTCAATAATTCAAGATACGTAGTTAAGAAAACTCATCAACAACTTTATATTTTATTATGTATTATAATAATGAAAACGGATTCAAATGTATTTGAAATCTGCTCATTTGTAGTATAAATATGTATCACTTAGAATGCAAGAATGCAAGAACGAGAGAGCAAAAATTTATAGTGTCCTTTGAAAAATACTTTGTAAAATCATCAAGCAATAAACGTTTCTTCATCAAATTCCTACTTGTAAGTTATCATTCATTATTTCTTTTATTTTCACATTTACTACATTATTTTATTTCCTTTCCCATTTATTATTACAACAACATTTACTATTCATTTTCAATACATTTCTTTTATTACATCTTTCATTTTTTAAGATCCTGCTATATGGTATCAGAGCCAAGTGTCAATAGAAGTGAGGAATTAGGAATAAAAAATTAACTGTCATTACCATAGTTACTGAGAAAAGAAAAGAAATAATGAATAATAACTTACAAGTAGAAATTTGATGAAGTAACGTTTATTGCTTAATAAATTTTACGAAGTATTTGTCAAAGGACAAATTTTTGCTCTCTCACTTATTGTTCTCTCATTTTTGCATTATATATAAAATAGTTACTGTAATCCTACGGATTAGTAAAAAGTAACATTTCTTCAACCTTTTCTTCGGTTATCATTATTGTGTCTTCTGTTGTTTTAATAGAGTAATCTGATATAAATTCAAAACTATCTATTTGATATATTGTGTATTTCCTAACTGGTGTTATTACTCTCTCTCTCTCTAGTTATCTATAGATATATATATAAAAGTAGAAATGTATGAGAGAAGGATTTCTGTAGAAATGCAGAAATCCTTCTCTCATACATTTACTAATCGGTAGGATATATATATATATAATCAACAACAAAACACTTATTCAAGACAACATTTTTTTATTTTTGAAAATTGGTTAATATTTTTTCTTCATGAGAATTATTGTGTTTGATGGGAGATCCCGTCTTTCACTCAAATTTCTTTTCTCTCTTCACTTAGCTTTTTTCTTTCCCTGTAAGAAGTCATGGGAAAGAAAATCAAGTAATGAATTATTATGTCCTTTGATATGTTCAATTTCAAAATCAAAACAAGAAAGTATTGCTTGCTATCTGGCAAAAATCTGTTTCGAAACTAAATTTTTTACATCTTTTTCAAAAATAATTTTTTATGCATAAGAATCTGTTCAGATAAAAAATCTTTTATTAATTAAATCATCTTGAAATTTTGTAATGCATAAAACAATTGATAAAACTTCTGTTTTGATGGTTAATAATTTTTTTAGCACCGAGCTAGACTCCAGAATGGAACCTAACTAGACTCTTTTTCCTATATAATCTTTGTTTTAATATCCCACCATAACCTATATCAGGGGCATCAATTTCTATAATATGGTAGGCTGATGGATCCAATATATTAAGGCAAGGAAGGAAATTAATTTTGGATTTAATTTCTCTAACTATTTGGGTATGAGACTCGGACCATGCAGGAGGATTTTTCCTAAGTCTTTGATATAATGATTCACATAGTTTTCTAAAGTCCTGGAAAAAATCTACTACATAATTTAGATATCCTAAAAATCTTTGTAATTGAGTTTTATCTCTTAATTCACCAGGAGAATTATTTGCAAATTCTATTGATCTATCAATTGGTTTAATAGCTCTTTTATAAATTTCATGACCTAAAAATCTAATTTTGTTTGAAATAATTTCATTTTTGTGGCTGAAACAAGTAATCCATTTCTTTTAATAATTTCTTCAAATATTTTTAAATATTTTAAATGTTGATATGTTGATTTTGAATAAGCTAAGCCATCATCAATATATACTATTGTAAAGTATATATAAGGATTAAATATATCGTTCATAATGTTTTGAAATTCTGAAGGTGCATTTTTTAATCTGAAAGGCATAACGTTCCACTCATATTGACCAAAAGGAATATTAAATGCCATTTTGTATCTATCTAATTCATCTATTTGGACTTGTCAAAATCCTAATCTCATATCAAATTTTGAAAATATTGTGGCATTATATAATCTATTAATTAATTATTATTATTATTTTTTTTGTTGGGAATTGGATAACTAATCCATTGTAATGCCTTGTTTATTGATTTATAATTAATTACTAATCTTGAGACTCCTCTTTCTTTTCTATTGCGTTATTGACATAAAAGGCACGATAGCTATGCAGTAATTCCTTTATTATTTACTATAAAAGGATAAATTTGAGTAATAAATAGGGTGCCTAATATAACATTTTGATCTATATCTTTTACTATAATAAAAGTATTTTTAATATAAAAGTTTTGTATACATACATATATATTAGATAATTTATAATTAATGTTTAATTGTTGATCATTAGCTTCATGTAACTTTCATTTGTTTTTTCATAATATTTTGTTGGAATTAATCTTTCTCTCATACAATTTTGATCAACTCATGTGTGTACTAAGGCTTGAGTGATAATATCTAGTTCGTGATTAATATTAATCCTAATATAAAATGTCATTTTTTAAATTGATTTTGCAACAATTTTTAATTCTGATTTTGAGGTTAATGGTTGTCCTATAATTTCTTTAAAGGCTTTTAAGTATAATAAATATGTCTTAATTTCAAAATTATCTTTATGTAAATCTTTATACAATATAAAGAATTCCGTTAGCTTTGTGAAAATAGTTTTGAGAAAGAAATTCAAAGTAATTATTTTTACTGTGAATTTAACTAATTTCTAATAAATGGAAATTGTGAAGTTACGATAACATTCAATATTTATAGAATGAGGTTTGGGCCTTCGGATAAACAATGGTGTACGTGATCAAACCCATTTAATGTTACACGTGCTGTGAAAGTATTGGCTACCATTAATGGGTTCTTTAAGCACCCAGTTATGTAAAAATATAAAAATAAAATAATGCTATATATCCCAAAGCAGTAATGTAATATTGTCTAAACTCTAAAGTATATATGGATCATGTGATTAAAGGGCTTACAATGTGTTTACAAGTACCAAATTTATGGAAATTAAAGAAAAACAAATTTATATAAATTAAAGATAACTACTGTATATTATTATCTTGTTTGATGTAATATTTAAAAATTTATTATGACAAAAAATAAAATTAAATTAAAATGACACTAAAAATACATAATGCATAAGAGTTATGTCAAAAATGAAATTATATAAAATTAATAGGGGTATTATTGAAAAAAGAATTTTAAAGTATAATATAGTTTTACATTTTTCATTTTTTATAAACAATTTTAAAGTATCAAATTTATGAAAATTAAAAGAAAAACAAATGTATATAAATTAAAGATAAATATATTATTATCTTGTTTGATGTAATATTTAAAAATTTATTATGACAAATTAAAATAACACTAAAAATACATAATGCATAAGAGCTTTAGATAAAAATAAATAATGCATAACACTGAAAATTGAAATTATATAAAATTAATAGGGGTATTATTGACAAAAGTAAATTAATTAGATAAAACCAAGGCTCCCATTGTTACACTCTTGGAAATACCATTATTAGTATTATCAAAAAGTTAATCAGTAAAATTGAGTTATTCTCAAAATATTATTCTATATTATTTAATTTCTTTTAAACCCCTCTAAATTTATTAATTTAACTAAACACCCCTAAATATATTTTTTAGAAATTGTAAAAATACCCCAATCCTCCAGCGGTGGTGACCGGCTGTCTGTATTTAATGAGTAGGTTGGGGGTGTTTTTGTTAACTTTTAATATTTTATTATAGGGTGTTTAGTAAATAAACAAAAATAATGGGTATTTTTATTAATTTCTAAATCCTACATCGTAATATCTGCCCAATTTAACTTGTTTCAAAATATTATTTTAAAAAGTATCATAATAATAAACCAAACGGACCCCAAGTATTTTAGTTTTTTTTTTTTTTTACTTATATCTTATAAATATGCATAATCTAAAAAGACAAAAAACCCTAAAACATCTTAATCTACTAAAACTAGTTACATTAAGACTTCAGATCAAAAAAACAAACACGCCCTTAAATTCATGTGCAAAGAGTACTGTCCTAATGGGGTGAAAGGTCCATCTTGCAAATAAGTCAAATCTTGTCTTTTCATAATGAGTTTTACATAAATTTTAAGAATATCTCTTTATATTATAATACAATTTAATTTATATATTTTTTCTATAATTAATAAAAAGGTTTATAATAAATTTTGAAAATTATATTTAAAATGAATCAACAAATCTCCTAAATTTACTCATATTTTAGTGGTAAAAAAGGGTAAATTTAAAATATCAATTTGAAATTTACCCTTTTTTAATGTACCAGAAATATTAACAACATAAAAGTCCGACATTTTAGGATAATTTCGGTATTATAAGAGTTTAGGAGGGTAAAACCGTCTTAAAAATAAACAAAACCCTAGCGAGACTGAAGCAAATGAATCGTATATAAAGCACTTTAAAAACCCTAATTCAACTTCTCAGCTGGCCATTCGCTTCTGCTTCCTGGACGCCGAAGAGCTTCTCTTCTCCTCTCTTCCTCATCATTCTCTGCGCGTCCAAAATGGTAAACTTGTCATATCAATCTCCTTTACACACTTATGTATCCAGGGTAGTTTCGTTTTGATCTAAAGTGGGTTACTTAGATTGCGTTTTACTTGGATTGCGTTTTGTTATTGAAGCAATAATTTTTCTTTTTATTTTAAAGCTTGTTTTGGCATCTGGGTTTTCTTTTAGGTTTTTAACTGAATATCGTCAAACTATGTTGTTAGTGTTATTAGCTTTAATAAATTGTTGATTTTTGGGTAATTGGATTTGCGTATTATTTGTGTAGTTATGAATTCTTTTGCTTGTTTTGGCATCTGGGTTTCGGTTTTTTTGACTGAATATCATCTAAGTATGTTGGAACTGTGATTAGCTTGAATATGTTGTTGATATTCAAGTTTTCTTCTTTGTGTGTAATTGAAGTCTCTGGTGGCGAACGAGGATTTCCAGCACATTTTGCGTGTGCTGAACACAAATGTAGATGGGAAACAGAAGATTATGTTTGCACTTACCTCAATTAAGGGTATTGGAAGGCGATTTGCTAACATCGTCTGCAAGAAGGCTGATGTTGACATGAACAAGAGGTATGCTTTCTTCTCTTTTTGTTGTATTATATGTCTCTTTTATATTCTTTTTTTGTTAAATCTGGTAATGTTGGTGTTATTATGTCACTTTGGCTCGATTCAATTGGATCTTTTTGTTTTCATTTGTTTTAATCTGCCATCTTGAGAAATGAGATTCAACCATTAAAATTTTCTTTTTAATTTTATTGTCTCTTCTTTTCGGATAGTTGCTTTTTCTGCAATTTTTTTTTTTCTCTCCAACCTTATCTTACGCATGAAAGTCCCATGTTTTCTTGACAAAGTTCAATTATGAGAGAATTAATTAGATGATGTTCTTTCTTGGCATGAGTTGTAGGAATTGACATGTTTTTCTATTTCAAATTTTTATATATCACATTAGTTTTAGTTGGGAGTAATAATTTGTTGCACTGTTGTATAGTTCATTGCAATAATTGGTCTGTGGTTGGTTTTCTTTCTGGGTTGGGGCAATCTTTCATGTTGGATTTATTTTTTTATAAAGATATTTATTGTCTTCTTAAATTTGTTTTTTAAACAAAACACAACCAGTTGCAGTTTACTATCATATTCAATTTATTGAAATACATCTAAATTTGATTTACTATCATTGTTATTAGGGCTGGTGAACTGACTGCTGCTGAGCTGGACAATCTCATGGTCATTGTTGCAAATCCCCGCCAGTTTAAAATCCCAGACTGGTTTTTGAATAGACAAAAGGATTACAAGGATGGAAAGTATTCTCAGGTGGTATCAAATGCACTGGACATGAAGTTGAGAGATGATTTGGAACGTCTGAAGAAGATCAGGTAATCTCTAATTTGCCATGTACTGTAGGATGATTTGATTGAGGCGTCTGCCTCATTTATGCACAAATAATTTGAAACGTATTTAGCACTATCCCTATAATAGGAATTAGGTTATAAAATGCCTTCTATATAATAGCAGCTATACAGTTTAGACAGTATAATTTTCCAACAATGTACACATATATGCACATGTGTGCATTATCCAATGGAACTTCTGTCACATAATAATTTGCTAAATGTAATGCAGGAACCATCGTGGTCTGAGGCACTACTGGGGCCTCCGTGTCCGTGGGCAGCACACCAAGACAACTGGTCGCCGTGGAAAGACTGTTGGTGTCTCCAAAAAGCGTTGAGCTTCTCCATATTGTTGTTTTGAACAATTATATATATGGTCAGTCAAGAGTTTGGTCTGTGTTTCAGGGAATGTTTGCTTCAGACAGTGTTAGATTTGATTTTCTCACTTCGGATGAGTTTTTAATCATGTGAACTGTTTTGCCTTTATTCATCATTCTCAATCGTTACATTTTTGCTGCTCATACTGGTTGCAACTTATATTCCAGATGTGATCCTTATATCTATGATTACCATTACCAATTTTATATGCTGGATTCCTGGATTGTTTAAGCAACTTTTCAATTACTAGTGTTGGCATAATCACTACTTACAAGTTTATAAGATCTAGAGTTGAGTTGCTCCTGTTGACATAGTAAACATTAAAACCAATGTTTTAAAATCCGGCCCGGCCGGTTTAACCGAGACCTGGAAGCTTCAATGGGTCGGTTTATATTTTTCCTATTCACCTAAAATCGTAGGATTTGGGAGGATGATCGCCGAACAATTGATGGTCGGGATGTTGGGGTTTTTGAATAGAAAGTGCCTGTGAATGCAATGGTGGTGATTGTGTTGATTTTTGGCAAGTAAATCGATTGGAAATCAAACAAAATTGGCAGCGGCAACAATCGGCTTTTGTTGGCGATTGGTGAGGCTAACGGGGGTAGGGTGAAGTGGGTTCTGGTCGGGGGGAAGAGGGGAGTAATTTTTGGGTGATGGGGAGGGTTGTCAACGTCGGCTTTGATGAGATTTGACCTGGAATGTCGACATCAACGTCGGTGAGATCTGGTTGAAATCGAACCTATTTCGGCTAAATCTTGGGTATATGGGGAATGAGCTCAAGGGACGATTGGGGTTGCATCTGGGGTGTCACTCGTCGCCGCCAACTAGTCGTCGGTCGATTTATATTTGAGGTGTGTTTGCTAAATTTTAAATCTATAGGGATTTAATTGTAATTTTTAGGGGTGTATTTGTTGAATTTTAGAAGTTTTTGTCAACTGGTTTGAATGCCGGTCAAACCGGTTAAATCGGGATCCGGCAACTTTGTTGGTTTCAACTCAGGTTGGGTTTTAAAATATTGATTAAAACGGAATGCAGAAGCGTAATGCTTGTGGGTTATTTATATTAATAATCATCCTTGAATAGATTAATATTATACCTGGAAACTATATTTATACAAATTATTTTATCTCCGTCAATATGTAATTTGACTATCAATTGATCTTAGGTAATATGCTATATTTTTGAAGGTGCTCGTCTTTTGATGTCAATCAGAAAAGAATTTTAAAAAAAGTTTATATAAAATTCTAAACACTTAGTTACATTACATTACATTATTTGGTCGAGTTTAAAAAGATTTTAATTTTAATTACTTAATGATTTTAATTATTTATGGGAAGCTTCAAATTTAAACTTTTATGCTACTTTTAAATTTCAAAAATATCATTGTACAATTTTAAATTTAACATTACTTTGTATATTAAAACCTTTTTTTTAATTAAAAAAATATTTAACTTTTTGACATTTTTTTAACTAAATGATTAATTAACAAATATTTCGTAAAAGCTCTTTTCAAACACTAGTTTCATCAATTCTACTCGAAAATATTATACCAAATGGACTTGAGTGAAAGAGAACAAAAAAATACAAAATAAAGGTGGAAATTAAAAATGGAAAAAGAATAATAATTATCATAACTTATAAAGCTGAAATAGAAGCAAAATTTGTAGGGAATCTAAAAATCCCAACCCAAGAATGTCTTTTTTTTTTTCCCTTGATGGGATTCAATAGAAATACATAAAAAACTAACAATTACATAATCGAACAAAAAAAGAAAAAATTAGAATCGAGAGGTCGGATCTCTAATCTCAAATGATGAATAATAATAATAATAATAATTTCCTGAAATCAGCTACCTTTGTATGCTCAAGTTATCTTTCTGTATATAAATAATTAGACTTTCCCATCATGTTCAGCGGAATAATCCGCTTTTTGTTGTTTGGTTATTGGAAGCGAGTGGCTGCGGCGCTCCTTTCCACCGGGCTTCGTTGAGGCGTTGTTGTACCAGATCATTCCCATTACGGCAATGATCATACCCAGAACTACATGCAGATTGAGACCTTCTTTTCCGAAGAAGAAGAACCCCATGACCAACACGAGGATCGTCTTCATATGACCGAGTACTTGAAATGATACGGCTGTGAATCTGCCGATGCAGATGAACTGGCTGAGGTTCGTCCCTACTGCAATCGTGCATGATAGAATTATGAATACCTGCAGATAATGCAAATGGGAGCTGAGCAGCATTTCTTAAAACACAAACACACACGAAAGACATTAAATTTGTGTTGCGCTTACCACTGAAGCTGTTTGATAGTCATAGGCGTCGATTCTTTTGCCTGTTAACCAATAATCAAGAAATGGGCCGACCAGGAGGAGTGTTGCAGCCTGGGCAGGAGCAGTATGTCCCAATAGATTGAAAGAACTTAGCGAATACTTCCGTTGAAGGTGGTGTACATACTGCACTTAAAACATCGAAAGCATTATTTATCAATTCATTTCAAGCAGGAAGATTTTAAGAGTTTTGTATAGGCAAATCCGTTATTGATTTACAAACAAGAGTTAATAAGATAGAAGAAAAGGCATGAAAACTTACATACTGTTGCATAGCTGTGCTCCAGACTGCAATAAAGGCAGCTATGAAGCCTCTGGCGTTGACACTCACATCCGTGACTGTGCAAACGCCAACACCCAGTAGAACAACTGATATGCTTAGCTTTGTGTCTCTGGAGTATCGAATTTTGTCCAATACAACTTCCAAAAGGCATGATACAGGGATCATACTCAATTTTGCTATCTAAAAACAAAGTTTGATAATACGTTATTCCCAAAACTATTTTAAAGAACCAATAGCTAAATACTGGAGCATAAAGATCTACCTGATAAAAGCCCACTGAGTTCCACATCAGACTAACGTTCATTCCAACAATGGAAAAGTTTGCAAATATAATGAACTTCAGAAGTTCTGGGAAGGGTAGATGAGAGGGTTGGATGTATCCCATCCACTTAAGAACAGATGTCATCAAGGTGGTTGTAGCAAAATGCAAACCAGTTAATGTTGTAGCTGCAAGACGTAGGTAATCAAACATAAATACAGCACATAAAAGAGTAAAACGAAAGTTATAACCATTAATACATTCTGAAAATGATAACAGACGAAGATAAATATCTCCATGTTATGAGCTAATGATAATAAAAAAACTGCTGCTAACTTTTTGCAAAGGGATACGAGAGAAAAATTACACAAACACATGGAGGGGAATTTACCAAAACTAAAGCCATATGTAGCCATTAATGCTTTATTGACAATGATAATCCCAACAGAAGTGACAACATTGAACATCCAAGCGGCTGCATCTGCAGCTGCCTTCTTATCCGCCCTGCTAGCAGGAGACATTTTCATATATTTCTTAAAGATGATAAGCCTCGGGTATTTTACCCCTCAACATTCACAAAGCAACCCATCCACCATATATGAAGTCCAATTTATTTACCCTCGTTGGGAATGGTGGATCCTACAAAAACAAAATTGAATAAGTACACAAATATAGCATTGGTATAGAACAGAAAATAGTGCAAATAATTTTCATCAAATTAATTTCAGTCAAGAATCACCACGGCTGGAAAACAAAAACAGAGGATATGAAACTTCAGACACCCAAAAACAATTTGACCATTACCAAAGACTGCAGCAAACATAAGAAGATAAACTTTTCTTCTTATAAGTAGAGTCCACAGCAGCTACATTATTTATGATGTAAAGTTATTACATTACTCTGACAGATAGATGAAAAAAATTAAAACCACAAATACAATATGGATTTGATACAACAACTTGAATACTAGACGACGACTGCAATGTGTCACAGGCATGAAGCATATCAAATGCTGAAAAGGAAAATCTGAAATTCCCGTTCTATAAACTTACCCTTTTCAACCAAGCAGCTATAACTCTTCTTTCTAAATGAATCATTTTTAACAAAAGAAATCCATTAAATTTGTCTATCAACTCACATGCTTATACATTTTCAACCTTTCGGACAGATATATGATTCTCAATACGTTTCACTCCAAGAGTACCACTTAACAATCTCAATGCCGTAAGTTTTAGAAGAATTTCCTATGCCCCTGTTCTTCTTCTGGTCCTAAGTTCTTAATTATGGACATATCCTAGCACTGACCTTTCCCATCTTAAGAGTCCTACTCCAATCAATAAATTTCATCAGCATCAGACCTGTAAAACTTTGGGCAATACAAACATTTTCAAACAAAAACCGCCTGAGACTAATTATTGTGCACATTTCCTCATAATAAAGATTATGATGGAGAAAATACCAATTCAAATCAAAGACTATTAATTCTATGCCCACTAGTTAAGCAGGTGCAACAGCATCTTGATGGATTGATCACAAAATAAATAAAAGGATTTATTTCTAGTGAAAGAAAACTAAGCCTTCTCCTAATTACACATTGAGCCATATCTATAACTTTCTCCCCAGCCACATATGACTGCCACCAACCGCACAGAAAAACTACCAGCTTCACCAAGCTGACAATATCATTACTTTTACAAAGATAATATCTTAACAAACAATTTTTAACCATTTCATTCAATCTCACGAGTCGTTCTATAAAATCAAGTGTTCCACGTTATAAAGATGATGTCAAATTTATGATTCTTATGCTAAATGTGATAAATAGAACGCTTCATGTCACAAATCTAACGTTCCATCTCATAAAAACTAGTTGCAACCGGCAAAGTAACGTAGCAATTCCCCAATTTCAAACACATTTTAATAAAAAAAACTCCAGTTCTTGATCCTTCAACGTTAGATTCATCTAATTTCCATACAAAATGCAGCTACTATAACCAAACATAAATTTTTTTCTCATCAACCAAACAACCAGATCCACCAAACACCACCAGATCAACCTATACCAAACAATTTAACTCTAATTTCAAAACTCAGATCTACAAATAACAAATCGAATCACATTTACATCTAATTCAACTCAATTCAATTCAGCATCTAAACAACAGATCAGATCTAAAAACACAAAAAACAAAGTCGTTCGTACCTTCTCCTTGGAAACTTGTTGGACGTGGTTGAAGAGACTAAAAAAACAAATGTAGTTAAAGTGTTTGATTAATTGTTGCAGTGAAATGCGAGAAAGGGAAAGAATGTGTTGTGATGTGTGGAGTTTGAGTTGCTGGAGTAATAGTTTTCAGTTAAGAAATGAGGGGCTCGTGGAATGTAACAACCAGTAATAAGCAGCCAGCAAAGCAACCCGAATCATAACGCGAACGTTGTTTTTCTGCTTGCATTTCACTCGGCACTTGCACATGCCTTTCTTTTATATTTATATATATATACAGAAGTTTCCGAATCTCCGATTTCGAGTACCACTCTATTCAAAATTTTAACGTTTGTACATTTGACGACTTCCACATGTTTTGAAAAAATTAATATATAAAAATTATAGCAAAATGTTATTTAGTAACATATAGGGCCTCTTTATTACACTTTTTTTTAAAAGTTATTTTGAAAAAGTGTTTTAAATTAAGTTGAGTTGAATCAAATTGAACTGGATTTAAATTTGAAAATGTGTTTGGTAAAATACTTTAAAATTATACCAGAGTTAGATAAAATGATGAATAGTTGTTTAATACATTTGTTTTGAAGAGGTGTTTAAGATATAATAGCTGTTTGATATATTTTCTAAAAATATTTAGATTATTTTTTAATCCCTTATATTTAATAATTTAGCTAAACATCCTCACAATAAAAGTTTAAAAATTAACTAAAACACCCCAACTACCAAAGAGAGCGGTCGACTGCAGCCCACCATCGTCGAACGGCGGTTGACAATCATCGAAACGGCCCATGACCGATTGGATCTGACCAATCGTGCATTGATATGGCCATTTCCGGCCAGATCTACATCTAGAAATATGCTATCGTTGACGGCCAACATTTGGTAGTCTTCAACGGTCAGATTAGCGCACGACCAGCCAGATTTGATTGGTCGTGCGCTGTTCTCACCACGTCAGGTGACGGCGGTGGTCTTGGGTGGATTAATTTTTAGATTGGAAAGAGAAAATTGAGAATGAGAGAAAGAAAAATATTTTTAGTTGAATAGAGTTGAATAATCTAAAACAAGTTACACCCTCTTTTCATTTTTAGATAAAAAATCTTATTTGAGTTAGATTAATTTTCATATTGGATTGACCCAATAAGTATATAAACATATATCATATTTTTTAATCTAAATAGGATATCAGAATAATAATCCAAAATAGTATAGCAAACAGGGAAATAATTTATAATTAGTACGATAATATCATTAATTGTGGCTATTTGTTGATTAAATTATTTGTGACATATTGATTCAATTTGGGGGTCCAATCCAAATTCCAATTGTTAATGTGTCGATTTTGAGTTCAAAGCATAATTATCAAAGTAACTTTATGACGATTCTTTATAATATCTTTATCCCAATCTTACCAAATTAAAGTTTCAATCTCTGCATCATTAGGTGAAGAATGAGATGGGATTTGGGAATGTGCAAGCATCTACCATTGAAGTTACAAAATAACTTTATAAAAGATTGATATGATTGGTTGATTTCATCAATTTTTTTTTATGATTAATTATTAAGGAGTAGAAATATCCAATGTGATACTTATTATTTCATAATAGTGTCAATAAAATATATTTATCTTTTGTTTGATTATAGTTAATATCCACTTGATAATGTTACGACTTATGAGAGAATTAAAAATTACGATAATGCCATAAAAATTTTGGCAAGACTAAGTGTGCAAAGTGATTTAGATTTGTTATTTCTATAATTTTGACTTGATAATGTTGCTATGTTATAACAATAATTTGGGAGGTGGGTTGTTTTTTTTTTTTTAAAAAGCCCATAGAGATAGTTTTTTTTCAACTTAGCCCAAACCCATACTATTTCCTTCAAATGGGCCATGTATTAGCCCAAATTCACATCCAATCCAAGTCACGTCACGTGCGATTCCATGTGCGATAGCTTCTCGTCTTCCTCTCTCGCAGCCTCGCTCTGTTTGTTCAACGTTCAACTTGAAAGAGTAAAATATAAAAAAGAATACAGAGACTAACACACACAAAACTGAAGCTCAAGCTCAAACTCAAACCTTCAAAATTATAATCTAATTTAATTTAATTTTGTATCATATAATGAAGTGTAGTTTGTTTCTTCTCTTTATTTCTCTCACTTTCTCCTCCGTTCTCGCTAGAGGCGGTCTTTCAGGTTTTGTTCTTCATTTGATCTGAACATTCACATCGTTGAATTTATTTGCTTCGAATTTGATTTTATAATCTAACGAATGATCTTTGATTGATTTCTGATTTTTCAGGTTCAGCTACAACACGGCTTTTACTCGAGGAGAATCACTCGCAAAATAGGTGTGCTCTTGCTGTTATTGTTGAAGTTGATAGTTGCTTTTTCGGAAAGCACTTTTTAAGTTATTTTAGTAAAAATCACTTTTAAGTGTTCTTGTAAAATCACTTTTTAAGTGTTTTTTTTTTTTTTTGGAATTCACTTTTAAGTGTTTTTGTAGAAAGCACTTTTTTTTTTTTTTTTTTAAGCTTGTATTTTGAATATTATGTGTTTATTTTTTGGTTGATTGAATTGTTAGTAACAGTGTTGATAAGGCTAAAGGTTATATGAGTAATTATGATCTGGAGCAAGCTGTGAAGGAGTTTGGGCGTAGATGTAGTAACATTTCTAGGATTTACAGGTAATTTTTTATTTTATTTTATTTTTAAGATTGATGATTAATTCCTAATTTTGTTATTGATTTCACATTTTTAGTGTGTAATGACCTTATGAATGTCAACTTGTAACAATATATTTTGTTATCAGTCATATCATGTTACTGGAATGCAAAATCCTATTACATTTGCTAGAATGGTTTATGCTAATATTTGCTGTCATTTATTCTTGAATGTTACTGGTACGACGTTTCATATTACAAGTTATCATATATCCTTTTTACAAGTTCTCGCAATTCTAATGTTTACTGTTATAGTTGTGACATTTAAAGATACAAAACCATGTTATTCCAGTAATGTTATCAGGATTTTGCATTATGCTAATGTAGCTTTTCTCTGTTTCTGGTTTAATTTGATTGTTGGATTATTTAGTTGTAAATATGATGTTCCAAAGCTTGCTGTAGTGATTTATACTAATTTGTTCATGTTTCTCTCTTTGAGGGGGTTTTGGATTGGATGATCAGTATTGGGAAGAGTGTGAATGGATTTCCACTGGTAATACTAGCTCTCTTTTTGTTTTAGAGTTGCTATTTGATGCAAAAAAAAAAAAATTCTAAGTAGGTGTGTCTGGTTATGTATGTGTTGTAGTGGGTGATGGAGATTTCAGACAAGCCTGGTGTGGAAGAGCCTGAACCTGCATTCAAGGTGAATAACCTATCACTTGCATAGAACACTTGCTCGCAGGACTAAATTTGTGAATGCTATCATTTGATTTCAAACACTTAAGGTTATTGGTTATTTAACAAAAAAATTCAAGCTCATGATTCAATCATTTTTGTAAATTTACTCTATTTGAGCTGGACAAGAGCTTTATTAGGACAAGAAATGGTACAGTTGTTCTGTTTAACTCAACAGTCATGGGGAAACATCCAAAAAAAAAGAAGTTGAAAAAATTGATAAAACACATAGTTTTTGATTGCTTGAATGCTTGCAACAAATCTTATTGGCTGATTCTTGTTCTGTCCTTCCTTGAGAATTTCCATTTTGTCAATGCTTTACAAATTTGCAGTTTGCAGTTTGAGCTGTTTTTGAATTTATAACATGTCAATGGAGATTAGTTTCCCATTGGAAAAAAAAAAAAAAAATCATTGGAGAAAATATGGATCTATTCTAATCATCCAGTTTGGAGGACGACAATTTTTTTTTCTTTCCTCTCTTCTTGGTAAACATATCTACCTTGCAGCTTTATGGTCATGATTGTATACTTCTGGAAACTGTCTTTGAGAAATCTGATTTGGGTTTTAGGATGCTTGATGCTGATATGTTGGATATTGCAGTTCATTGGGAATGTCCATGGAGATGAACCTGTTGGTCGTGAAATTACACTACTTCTTGCAAACTGGATATGTGACAACCATATGAAGGATCCCTTGGTATTTCTTTATTTCTTTTACCAGACATAAGTTTTATAAGTTTATTCTTTTTCCTTCCCTGACATGGCAAGTTTATTCATGTTATTTATCTATTCATTATTTCTTTTCTGCTGTTGGCGTCTTAATTGTTGCTTTAAATGTGTTATTTTTCTCAGTAATATTCTTAGTTTCTGTGTCGCTTGTCTGCAACTTACTGCCCTTTTTGAATGCTTTTATGTTGTGTTTTCAAAATGTTCTAGAGTAGTTCATAGCTACTAATTATTGGCAGTTAACTGTTATTAGTGATTGTTTGGCTTCTATTTTTTATTTTTTCTTTTAGTGTGAAAATGCTAACTTTTGCTGGAATATTCATTGGTCTCTGCAGCCTAGATTGTTTTATGGACTTCTAGTTTTAATACTGCCAAAATGCTAGCTTATTGTGAAATGTTTCTTGGTCTCTACAGGCTAAATTGATTGTAGAAAATGTGCACCTTCATATACTTCCGTCATTGAACCCTGACGGGTTTGCACTCAAGAGGCGTGGTAATGCTAATAATATTGATCTAAATCGAGATTTTCCAGACCAGGTGCTTTTTGAAACTTTTTATAGTCTTACTTCTAATGGTGAAAAGAAGCTGCTATATTTTGTTCTGTTTACTCCTTTTAGTTTAATTATAGAGAGACATTGACTAATATAATGTTACAGTTCTTTCCTATGAACAATGATGAGAATGCACGACAACCTGAAACAAGGGCAATAATGAATTGGTTGAGGGAGATACATTTCACGGCATCAGCCACTTTGCATGGGGTAATACTTGTTTCTCTAATTTAGTCTATAAAATTAGTGCAAGGCAACCATGGTGTATCACTTGTTTCTTGAGCAATATTAATTTCCTAGTGCCTACTAATAGCTTAGAGATTGCTTATTGAAAACCTTTGTGAGAGTGGAGTGCTTACATGTAGATGAAAAGCCTTGCAAAAAGGAGTACACTATAATGTCTTTGCTTGAAATAAGGATGTCTTGAGAAGAGACTCGTGCGTGTGCGTGTGGGTGTATATATATACATATATATTAATAGGGTATTCAATGAGAATTAGATTGAAGATTTAATCTTGGTTAAAGAAGACTTGCATAAGATGTGGAGATAAGAATCCTTGA